CATGTTACAGCTGCTAGCGAGTTGGAAAGTGGAACGCATTTATCTTGTGAATTACAGTTGTCATTATTCTTCCAAAATGACTGGCTGTCTGTGTTTACACTAAGAAAGTGTACAATTAAAAGCTATATGGCGCGAACGATTTGAGTTACGTTTCTAGAAATCTAGATACATATAAACACATGTGTTATCTATGATCTCTGTGATTCTTGAGTTTATTGAAGCGCGAGTGGTTTAATTAATTAGCAAGTATCTACGCGCGGTATCGCACAGGTTAATATACGCACGGCTATGGGCGGTAAGAAAGTGGACAATTAAACTATCATATGGCGCGAACGATTTGAGTTACATTTCTTGAAATCTAGATACACATAGACACATGTCTTAATTAGCTATAATCTCTGTAAATTTTGAGTTTATTGAAGCACGATTAGTCTAATTAATTACTTCGGACCATTGCACAGCGTAACCATACAGCGCTGTACTTAAGCGGCAGCAGTGTGGATCCATTTGGAAACAACATGGCGTCAAATCCTGAGTTGGGGCAACTCTCTGTATATAGGGACCCTAGCCAAAGTTCCCATCTCGCTTAAAGGGAGAGTTTACTCTAGGTTATAGGGTTATTTTCAGCTAATTTAGGTTATAATTACGCTACATAAAAAGTTTCATGGTTCAATCACCATTCTAAATATTTTTTTTTAATGTTTTAAAACTAACGACTACAGTTTGATTACAACGACGGTGGCGCCACTCAAAGAGCACGATCTGATAAGTTGCGCAAAACCACTTTCCAGCCTAGACTGGTACTCGCTCCCACCTTGATTACTCGATGGTGGGTGATAAGCCGACCATGGGTGACCTCTAAGCCGATAGGTGGGACCGGGTACCAGTCTATTTCCAGCCAAGGGCTACAGACCGAGGGTGTTTCTTATTTATTCATTTAAAAGCAAAAGGATTGTAATATCTTATAAACGACATATAGTTTCAGTTATAATATTGATAAATTTGCCCTAAAATGAATATCGTTCGGTTAAATAGCATTTAGGTATAAATATAATTGCACTTTTGTGATTAGCCCTCGGTCTGTAACGTGCAAAATAAATGGTCAAATACGCAACTTTTTCGGGGTGGCAGCACGGTCGCGGGTGTCATGGCGCCGTTCAAATTTCGTAGCGTTGATGTGTAATTAATTATAACAATTAAATTAGGTGTCTGGTAACAAATACCTACGTGTGGGTATAGACGATTTGTTATACAGTATGTACAGTTGTATGCAGTAAAATCCTAGATCATACGTGGCATGTGCCCTCCGCCGTGTAACACTCACACTCCTCCGCCGTGTAACACTAACAGTCGGAGAGCCTGGTCGGTATAGTGTAAGACGTGCATGATTAACTTAAAAAGTTATTTTAAAAATAACTACAGTAATGACATATGTGATTTGTGTGACGAAAGGAAAAAAGAAAATTTGGAACATTTATACTCGTGTAAGGTATATAGAGGGTATAATAAAGGGGAACGAGTAGAAGATTGGAAAAGTGATGACCCGAAAATACTAAAACCAGCACTAGAATATGTTAGAAAGGCATTATCAATTAGAGAAAGTAAAATAATTAATGCTAACTTGTAGACAGAATTTCCTTATCTGCAGGATTTCTCCGCACATTCCAAGAGAATCTGTGCCTTGTGAAATACAAGAGAGGGACCCCAAGATACAAGATACAAGATACAACCCTGTGACAATTCGGCATGTCACACTACTTACAAATATTTGGGTGCTATTATTAGTAACGATCTTTGCTGGAATGCCCACATTGACTATATTTGTAAGAAAGCGTCCCGATCTTTCAGCATGTTACGGCGTAATCTTAGCTCTGCTGACTCTAATACTCGGTCCCTAGCTTTTAAAACTATGGTTCTGCCCTTATTAGAATATGCTTTGCCAGGTTGGTGCCCCTATTTACTTCAGAACTGCTCTAAATTGGACACCATTCAGCATAAAGCTGCGAGATGGGTTTCCAGAAACTATGATGATAGTGCTGATGTTGTTTTGGCTCGTCTTGAATGGCCTCCTCTTCGTGTCCGCGTTCTTCGTTCAAAACTCATAACTTTCTATAAAATTTATCATGGTGAAATGAAAATTGGCATTCCCTCTTGCTTAATGAAGCCTGTTCGCTGCACCCGCTCATCTGAGCGTGATCACTGTTTTCCATCGCATGTACAAATTTCTAAGGATCCTTTTAAGTTTAGATTCTTTGTCTCTGTGATTCCGTATTGGAATTTACATCTTTGGAAGGCACATCCTTAGTAAATAGCAAATTTACAACCTTTTCCGCTGCGATCCACAGTGTGGATCTACCGACTTGATCCACTTCTCTCCCATCTTCGTTATAGTTCCCAGGACTTTTGAAGATTAACACTTATGAGGTTACAATCTTTTTTGATTGCTTAATTTGTTACTTGACAACAACAATGTTTTTGTCCACAACCAACACAACCCGCCCACCCCTCCACGTGCGGAAATACATAATTCCCGCTGCTGCACAGCCACCAAAAATGGCTGTTTAAAGTTCGTAAATAATGTTCGTTCACAAGAAATACCGCAAGTAGACCATTTCAACGATAGTTAGTGGTTACATTTTTGTAGCTGATATAACTTAAGACATATTCACTTTGGATAAGAGGCATTAATTGCTTACCACACATGTTTTATAGCAGCGAGTAACCGTGAATAAGTTGGTCTCGAGCATTCGTAATAAAATGTTTTATAGCCCTGCGGCAACTGTAGCGGGCTATAGTACTAGAGCTATATTAAGGTATAACATGTTATTTATAATTTATTTCTGCATTATTACAGAGACACGAAGGCCACCCTTCTTTATGAGGACCGTGAGCAATGCTAACCAATCTGCAGATTGCTAATGGATGTATTTGTGATTGCAACCAAATTGCTCTGCACAAAATTATGAGTGAATTTATTGATGGCGAACCATGCAATAACAATCATGAAGAAACCCTTCAAAGGCTTAGTGCTATCACAATAGTTTTAGAGACTTTCTCGCCTTGTAATGCATGGACGAATCTGAGAAATGTTTGTGCATCACGGAGATGTGTTAAGACATTGGTAGGCAATTGTTATTCTGCTCCTATTTTCACAAATTTTCCTTTTAGCATCTTAAATGGTAAGGCCATCCTTAAAAAATTCTATGTTTGCTGTCCCCCGACCCATGATTTTTTTTAGTGAAAGGTATTAGTGGGTAGGTAGGTAGGTCTTTTATTTTTTGTGAGGCATAATAGTTATTTTAAGTCTGTCCTCATGTTTGCCACACATGCTTTGTGTTTCAGTCTTGACTATGAAAAGTGAAAAGGAAAAAAAAAATGAAACCCAAAATGTCAAAAACAACTTGGGTCGCGGCTATTTTCGTGGGTCGGTCGGAGGACAGCAAACATATAATTTTGTAAGGATGGCCTAATGATACTACACCAATGATATTATTATTATTGATATTATTGTTATAGTTAATTAGTATAAGTGGTTGGAAGTTGACGGGATAGGCCTACAAATTAACAATTTAATTACCGGTACTCTGCTTTGCAGCTCACGACGCTATGTGCTGAAAATAGATACATTTCTTATGAATCTGAACTAGCTTCTGTGGCAGCACTAACCTCAAGTATCATGGTAAGTTATAAAAATCTGTTGCTGCTTATGAAACTGAAGTATAAATAAGATTGCCATTTATTGTAATCAAATTTAGCTTGTAGCTAATTGAATAATAAATCAGAAGTACATAATAAGAGAATAAGAGGTAAATCATTAATAATATACTGCTGGAATAATAATGATTATAGCTACACTTACTTGCGTAATTATGCTACATTTCTTTAAATTGCTGTTTCAGGGCAAAGAAGAAATGCGATACTTTCTTCACCAAGTTATTCTAAAGCTGGTGCAACAAACTCAGGGAAATTTTCAGCAAATTATCCTATTAGATGTGTTGAGTCATTCCTTAAGCACTTGTTACTTTGAGTACAGTGAAACACGTTGTCTTCCTCAAACCTGTCCAACTGCCAGACAACATCCGGTGAGTCACAAAGAATCGCTAACTAAATCAGGTAAGAGGTAGGTGTGTAAGTGAGAATAATTAAGACATGTAGAAAGAGAGATGGGGAGAGAGAGAGGGGGGAAAGGTGCATAAGAGAAAATAACTTAGAAATGTAGATAAAATGAATGAAGAATTTATGAATGAATCCCAGATGGATATTCTGAATTGTATATATATATATATAGGTTTTCTTACATTTTCATTTAGATATTTTGCAAGAAATTCTATTGGTCTTGGATCAACACTGGCACAAACTTGTTGAGGTGTTTGCTTCAAGATCTGCCAGTGAGTTGCAGAATGAGAATCTGACTCTAGCCTGGTTGTCGCTATGGATACGTGTTCTAGAAGCACAGAGAAAGTTAGCAGTGGAAGAGTGTGGGAAAGATGGTAAGCACACGTGTTCAGAGTATTTGTCTTCTCATCCCAGTGTTGCAGTGAACATGCTAAAACGCTCTATTTCGAGACTAGTGTGGACGCGTATGTTGGAGTTAATGCTCTTATCACTAGCACTCGACATGTACGACTGCCATCAGCTGGCTATTGAGATTTTCCAATTTTTCCATGATGGTACTGATCATATGCCAGACACAACTGTGGTAGCTGGCTTTGTTGGTCCCAACCTTAGTACAGGCCGAGCCTGTAAAGTGGTGGATTTGACTAGAACTGTGAAAGACTGCACCAGTGTTCATAAAGATGCCAGGAAAAGAAAGCACTGCAATTGGGATGGCCTTTCAGGCGGAGACAGTGCAGCCGTAGTTGCCATTAAAACACCCAAGACTCGGCCAATAGGTGTCAGCACAATCATGCGCAAGTTTGTTCTTCTAATTGTGAAGTCAGCCGTCCTGGTGCTACAAACAAACAGAGGTATCTCTTACAACTACAATAATATTGATTACATGAATAAAACACGCATCAAGAGGTTAATATGATTTTCACTGATCCCTGGAATGCTAAGACCAATTGTCATACACACAAGTTAGTAAAATGGAAAATACATTGACTAGTAAATTCAGGTGTAGTGTGAAAGTTATGACATTTTCCATTTTACTGGTTACATGAGTTTAAGTGCAACAGGAGAATTTGGAGACTTCAAAGTCATATCAGTACATCTTTGTGCTCTCTGCTAGCATGGTAGCTGCTAAGAATTATTCACAGCGAGGTAATATTAAACATGCGAGGTTGCTAGTACTTGTAAGTTAATTTTGCATTAGAAATCAGTGGCAGAATGGGATTTCGACATGCTTGCAGGTATTTTTTGGCGTAGTAAATAAGTAATTTCGTATCTTTACCAAGGGATAAATGAGTTTTTTTTTGGCCATTAAGTTAAATAACATTAAGTTTGTTAATATAAAAACATGTCAGTTTCTATTATATGCTAAGACAATAACAAGCAAACCTGCAACCTGACATTATGTCACAATATACCTGTGCAACCTGCAAACAAACAAGCAACATGTGCATTATATATGTGGATTGTACTTTCCTATTCTAAACTAACTAGAACACGTAAGTTTCAGATTGTTGATTTTGTATTGTGACTTTTCCACCAGAAGAAGTGGCTTTGATGAAAACGTCTTCATCGATGTTCAAAATGGTCATCGCCTTGCTAAGTAGACATAGACTGGTGGTTAGACCTAATAGCTGTAGTTGGGTACAGCAACTGTATGGAGACCAAGATGATGAGCTCATAGATATGATGATGGAATTACTTAAGTTGTACACTTTGTAAGTTCTATTGGTTTATCAGGTGATAATCATAGTTTTCTTCTAAAAATAATGGTGCATTGTGCTGGACAATCTATTACATTAGATGGAAATAGAAAGTGGAATAACATATAAGACCCTTTGCACATAGCAGCTTGGTAATAATTTATTTCCTGTATGACACTATTTCAAAGAATGCATGCTGGGCCTCCTAACGTTTACATAATTTGATCCAATTTCTACCAACCTGAGCATGCCCTCCTGCAGCACCCAGAACTATTAGACTTGTGCTTTGCCCTCTTTCTGCATAACAATGTTCAGGGACCCATCTAATGAGTAGGTGAATTGTAAAGTTTGATCTTCAGCACAAAGCAAGCCTGATTTACCTAATCACTTTTACCACAATCCTATTATGCTTAAAATTAGAGTAGGATTATCATTTAAGTAATGATCTTGTAGAAATACAGTAAACAATGAAACTGGGGGACCCGGTTTGTTGACACTTATTAAATGCTCGTTTCTTTCAGTATGGCTCCTGCACACAGTGAGGTGACAGATGCTATGAGCCCCCATATAATCTTCTCCCAGTTTCTAGAGATGATATCATTCGATCACCAAGTGCTGCTTGACCTGCTCATCTCAAATGAGACGAACTTCTTAGAATATCTGACCAGGTATCTCAGGTTAGTCAGCAATGATCGCGAGTCATTCTTCGGCCACTTGTCGGCGGTCAACGGTTACCGACGTTGCTGCCCAGGGCTCTCGGTTCTCAACGCTTGGCGTGGAATGAGGCTGCCTGCTTCCACAGCTCCATCGCCAGCAGAACGTGAGGCTTTATGCAATCAAGCATCGGGACATTTCAGCTGTGCTGCGACATGTCACGATGAAAGCAGTGAGCATGGAGAGACTCCCTTGCTCGTTAGGCTGTGTGCCTACTCCGACTCAGATGGTTCTGATGTGGAGGCGGACGTGGACTCAGCCACATCGTTGCTGCAAGAGACTCACAGTCAGACGAAAAATCTGCTGTTAAACACTCATACTGTGATATCAAACGATTCCGAAGATGTCGGTCCAAATATAGGTTTCTATCCAGCGAAGACAATCGCAGGCAATGCTGCATGCACCACTGAGTGCAATGATCATGTAATTCACCAATATTGCTCCACACTTGCCAGCAAGAAGATGGACGAAAGGGAAAAAAACTATGCAAAAAAAGGAATGCAAAAGGAACAGACACATGCTGAAATGAGCGACAGCAGCCATGCATGTTTGAGGGATACTGCCTGCCAGGGTGTTGAGCAGCATGTTGTAAACACCCTGAAGAAATTGCTGATTTCTGTCGAAAGGTTGCAGAAACGTGGGCTCTTTCCATATCATGCGGGACCCCTCTGCAGGCGGCTGGCTAATGTGTGCAAATGATTAGGCCCATGTTCTTGTATGCTCTGGTGTGTGACCGATAGAGTAATTGCTCACATTATTAAAAATCAATTCTGACTTGGGTTTTCAGTCTGTTATTTATTGGTATACTCCTGTGAATGCTGTTGGTTACTGTGTACAGTAATATATTTCCGGTGCCATCTGCCTGTTAGCATGATATATTTCTTATGGTATACTTGTGCCAGATTAGTGTTAAATTGTATGTGCTTATATGGTATATGCTAAAAATTCTGTAAAACTTTGCAGCAGCCTTATGTAGAGTATAAAAGACAAGCGAACTCACAATTTATAAACTCCTAATTTTATTTACACTTTCTATAAAAAGCATAGTAACTTAACAAAACAAAGCCGTACATCTTCTTTGCCAGTATATAGACTATGGACACGTTTATAGAAGATTTTTCCACAATTGGTTTTCTTTTAAGTTGAACAAATATTCACGTTTGCAAGAAATGTCCGACGTTGAGTACCTTCGCCCTACGTTAAAACAAACTGGCAGATTACACGTGAGCCAGCAAGATCTATAATTACTATAATGTCACGGCAGATACTCAATCATTGTGGTAACCAAGTCGACTGCAATACACTCACTTGCATCGCGTTCTCTGTGCGAAATCTTAAGTAAAGTTAGGACGATGAAATCTTTCGTACGTCTGAGCGGAACGCGTGTCGAACGACGTTCGACCGATAAGAGCACATGAGCACACGCTTCGGGGTTGTCTCTGCATCGCGTATGCTTGCTCGTGGACAACGTTGAGAGGACTGTCATGTTTAGAAGTCTACACTGATTTGCGTGTATGTCTTTTACATAGTACATTAGTATATACAGACATCGCAAATAATTTCACCATCTGCAATTGCACTCTTTTGTTAAAAAATAATGAGCCTGTGGAAGAGATATAAGCACTTCTGTTCACTTGTTTGACCAGGCATCTTGCAACTTAATTAGGCAGGTATTCGATTAGGGCAATTTTCTATGCATAACACTCGGGTACATGCGATACATGGGAAAATACAAGCTTGCGTAAATGAAATGGAATCGGCTAATATAATAGCACAGGTTTCCACAGCCGGTCTCTGGGACAAGATGGTATGAAAATATCCTGATCATACAGAAGTATTTTTTTTACTTCGTCATTTAACCAGCTAGCTACCTACATTTATGCGTATGTACAATAGCTCTGCCACAGCCATGCACGCATGCACGCAATTAATTGTTTTAGCAACGCGGGTGATGCTGTCATCAATAATGGTAAACGTAAGGGGTATGTTAGAACGCCTAGCTGGTAGCTTCTGTGCGTCAGATGGCGGCGATGGCTTCATCTGCCCAGAGCACGTGCAGCCACAACGTCGTAATTCGTGCTGTTCACTAGCAGCAGCTGTAGAACAACCGTTCTAGTACCTAGAGTATGTAGTGACAGGCCGCCGTTCTGTGTTCGTTTTCTGCACCATGTGTTGAGCGTAATAAGTGCAATACATGCATGTCAGCATCCCCTCACTCGATGGCACACGGTTCCGTATGAACCGAAACGTACAATGTACAGTGTTCCATGAAACGTATATCTTTATACAACGTTGCCGGCTTATTAACGTTAGACCAATATCACCTGAGCTGTACTGTGCTGTTCATGGCTCACCACAACGCATGCGCGTTATTATACTGTGATCGCATCACGATGATCATGTTTTAATGTAACCACGTAGCGGAATAAAACACTGCATTGGAAATGCGATTATCAATATAATAGATGAAATGTGGAAAAGTCTATTAAATAGTTAATTAGAACTTATAATGCATTATCATTCTGGCAAAACAGACTTAATTAAAATCGATGTATAACACTGATTATGCTGCGTCAATCGCGCGCTGGAGCAAACTAAAAACACGGGCACCGTTTTTTTGGGCACCACGGGATAAGCCAAACGTTAGCTTGCGCAAATAGCCTTACGTATAATTATTTTTCGTAGTTTTATTTATTTCTAGAAAATAGTCATCGAGCTCTAGATCTAATTTGTTCGGTTCATCACTGGCGCTGATCAAAGGATCCAAGGATAGCTGATCGCAAGCTATAGAAGAGATTATAAGTAATAGGTCGGGCGGTAGACAGCTACGCCCTATAGCAGATATGTTGTACGTAACTTCCGGCTAAGCTGTCCAACTACAACTAGAAAGATACATAATCTTCTGTAGCTGATTCACACAACCACGTATCTACTATTTACTATGAATAACAAATGATTAGTAAATGTGTTTTTCACACGCGGGTAATGAGATTTAGCGGTTATCGCGTTCGTTGCACGTTGCATGCACTTCTATAATATCGTCATCATTCCTCGTTATCTTTTCCTCCAACTCGTACTTCGACAAATGGAAGAGCGATGTTACTTAGGGAACTTAATAGTGTTCAAATAGCCTATACATTAGAACTATACACGTCGCCTATGCGCAAACCTCATTATTACCGCGGGAGTCGTTCTCTCACCCTATACTCATAAACACGAACATTGAACTCGATCTACAAAAATTAATGTCACGCGGGAAAACTTACTTCTTTGATATAGCGAAAAAGCGGCACAGATACACACAAACTAGAAGAGAGCGAGGGGAGAAAAGAACGGTTAAAGCAAGAGGGAGCGCGAGAGTCAGACAGGCAGACAGACAAGACCGATCGACAGACATAAAGATGGGCAGACAGACAGATAGACAAACAGACAGACACGCACGTTATGATGTAGACGATGACTTGGAAGAGAACGATGCTATTACAAATCACATCTACTACAGACAGCATATAACCTATCGTAAGCCAACCAAGCCATACAACACAGAGACCTTTGCGAACATCAGGAGACGTTCATCGTTACGTTACTTCAAAGGAACAGATATGAGAACATATGGCCTGTTATATATACTGGTCGTAAGTAGGCCCTACTGTACTGCAATGCGCGCCGCCTCTCCCACGCACATCGTTAACTCGGCATATATCGCAAGAGCATCGTAAGTAAAAACTAATAATTTAGTATAAAACGGATAGAACAAGTAATATATAAGTGATATACCAAAACTTATGGCACGGCGGATGTCGATAATATCATTCGCGCTATGTTTTCATTCGTACACCCAAATGAAGCGGAATCGTATTTTAAATGGTAAACTGCAAACGATGTACCTACGTGTCTAACGCGTAGCAAGCTACTACTGTAAGCTAATAGCTGAGTTGATCCGCAGCAACATCTCACGCGAAACACCGTCCCCAGTCCTACATACTGTCGTGTTTTAATTACGAAAATGTGGGTTCGTTTACTTATATTAAATATGATAAGAATCAAGAAGCGTAATTTGTTTAGTAATACAAAACGTGACGTCACAACGCCAAGGTAAGTATCGTCAATGTTCGCGCAAAAATAAGACAGTCTTGGATATAAACACTCCTCGTTACAAGCAATCGAGTAGCAGTATAGCAGAATGAGGATTATTACTATGGATTAAATAATGACACTAGTGTAAAAAATCGACTAGACAAAATAGAGCAGGTCGAGTCTAGAGAATATTGCATCGGAAGTCCTGTCTAAGTGCACGTAATGGCAGGTTTACTTATCGATTTTGTATGGCTGCTCTGTTTCTCTGCGAAAAGAATTATCTTTTTTTCTGTATACAAAGACCTGCAAGTTCCTTGAATATTGTATTGCTTTTGTACATAAATTTATGTATTTGTACTGATCTAAATCAGCCGACGAAATGAATAAAGAGATGGCAAACGAATTATATTGCTTTCACTTTCGAGCGAAGTTATATAAACACCATAACAGATATCAAGAACGTATTAAGTATGCATACTTAATACGCTCTTGCTGATATACCATATGATCTAACGAAGACATTAGTGTTATACATATCACTAATATCACCTGGTTAGGAATTAAAGGAATTAAATGTGTGTAGTATGGTAAGTCTGCGTCTTGAATCACCTCACTAATCCGTTGTGTAAATTCGATACTAAGCCTCGTAGTTAATCTTACTGTTTTTACACTGACCATTGCCAGTTAGTATCAAATATAGTTCCACTGCGTTGAATTTGTCATCAACGAGTGTCCACGATTTGATCATTTTTATAGCGCGGAACTACAAAATGGCGGGCAGTGGCTAAATTTGTTGTTATCTGTTTTCATTTGCTCTAAAAACATCAATTACAGATTTTTAACGAACAATGTACATATACCTAGTTGTGCGTCTTATATGTGTTATAGCCGTATGCAATTATGCAATAGACGCATAGAATCGGTTACTTGTCAAATTAAAACATAACTTTGGAAGGCAATAAAAATCGCACATAGAGTGTATGTTAAATTTGGCCACACACTTATCTAACACATTTCTTACAATATTTGAAAACTCATTTCATTATTTTGAATAATTTAGTCTATTCTGTGTGCCGGTATAAGTAGAGCAATGTATAACTGCCGGCCGTAAATGGACGAGGAAATTCAAACGCATATTCTCGTGACGGTAATCTCATGACCTCGCGTGAAAATAATCCAAGCCTAGATATAGGTATATATATATATATATATATATATATATACGTGATTGAATTACTAAAGTATCTATCACAGCTCACTTTATAGAAATAACAACAAGAGTAACAATATTCATGATAATTAATGTTCGTTGATAAGTAAGTCACGTGTGTCTATTGCATTGAAAAGCGCACCGTAATTGTCACGCCCTATATAGTCCAGTCGCGTGCCACGTGCACCGAAACGTAACCATAATTATTGGTGCTGACATGCAACGCTTAATTAAGCAATACATTCCGGACAGCAACACAATATATGTTTAATTAAACCGAATGACCGGCTTGAAATACTGACATTTACCGCTGTGTATCAATATATGTTTAATTAAACCGAATGACCGCCTTGAAATACGGACATTTACCGCTGTGTATCTTCACCCGCGTTACATTAACTTGACTGTTATCTTATCTGTTTGATTGCTATAAATTGCAAAGCTTACATAGTAACTCCAATTGTACGCTTTAACTGGACCATGGTACAAGTTTGTTCTAAATTTTGAGACATCAGTTTGTATATTATCCTCTTGTTATGTCCGTTAGACGACTTACAGTATCATATAAGCACTTCTTGTCCTATATACTCGTGGACGTGAATGCCCAATCTCTATACGTTTGTTATTTTATCGTAGCGCGCTTTCTATAGACGCGCACTTACAATATAGATCAAGTTACATGGCGCTGTAGACTTTGCTAGCTCTGAGCTTCTATTAGTTTCTGTTCGGATAACATTTTTCAGGTCGCGCTTAACTTACATGTTTGTATTCAGACACACACTGGGGCGGTTACTGATCCTTATATACGGAATCGCCATGGTTATGTTCTCATATATAAGCCCGCCTGGGATCGACGGTTAAAGTTCAATACAATCGACCAAAATTCCTTACAAACTGTAAAGAGCAGTTTGCATGCAACATCCATGCGTAACTATGTACAAAATGTTGAGGTCACGAATACACTGCAATCTCAATGTATATTTCAAATGGCAACATCTTGTCCCTGTTTGTAGTATACATTACTAAGTAGTTTGACCTGCAAATGTATAGCTGCGAGCTGATATACATTTCACTGCACGCGTCGCCTACTCCTCCGCGAACATGAACCAATAACAGGCAGTTATTTCTATAAAATGGTCCTGGTTGCCTGCTCTCTACGCTTAATCCCCGACTTACACAGAGTGGGTGGCTATATAACACAACTCTACTTATATGTCCATCGCGATAAATAGTCCTCTTGTCTTGTCTCTTCTGGCCCTCTTGGCTACGTCTATCTATATTTTACATCATATAGAGGTCGCGCCGAATAGCGCAGAGCTAGGCCATGTCGACGACTTTTTCCGGGAGCATGTAACCGAGCCAGTAGGCAACATTAAACAGGGCGAACCCTGCCGGGAAGAGAATCCTGGCGACGACGTCTATTCGCTTGGCTCGGTCCTTGTAGTGGGAGAGGAACGACGTGTAGCATCCTCGTTTCCTCTTACGGCGCGGCTCAATGTGTATGTCGTGCGTCTCGTAACCTTTCCACGATCGCTTGCGAAACGGGGTCGTATCGCTATTGTTGAACAACGGCTTCTGGAAAGCGACAAGAAAACATACTCAGCTGATGTCATTCGATTCCTTCCCGTAGTTGCACTTTCCGCGTACGTGAAGTCGGGAGCAAGTTCGAATTCTGATCCGCCGAGTGTCGAACGACTTTAGCTATTTATGTTACGTATGACAACAGCTCGTTGCCGTAGTGAGAAAAAAACAGTGGTCGTGCAGATTAGTGATTTACCACGACATAATTTATTATTTTAAACCGTTGTGGGCGACGGTTGTGACGTTGACGACAGTTTTGTCATCGCAAAAATTATATATATATAGGATAATAACCAAGGAACACCGAAACAGACCTCCTGGGTTGAGAAATCTCATGTAATGTCGCTATGCCTTAACATCACTTGAGCGTCACATCTGACAATTACTGGTCTTATCGTTGTAAACGTACGCCACCGTAATTGAACTGGTATCAATCAAAAATAACGAATGTAATCCGTAATAACCAATGATCAAATATGGCGGGCTCGCGTAGTATTTTGGTTAGTTTCGATATTAAGAAAATCACTGCCGCGAATAAAAGTATTTCTCCAACATTTTAATATCTCAAAAATTATCTGAAACGTTTTTACATAATTTTACGCAATTTTCCACGACCAGCTTAAGTGCACTTACTCGTAATTCCTAATATCTAAGTATTATTATCGATGGCTGGTTATCTCACGGAAACCTATGTTGAACCAAATATTAAGTAGATCCTAGAGAAAAGCTTTTTGCGTTGACTAGTAATTTATGTCTATTTAATCAATGTAATGGAATATGCTGTATTTAAACTGAAGTTGACATGTCCTTTATATTAAATGTTTTGCGTGTTCTTTTTACCGATGTTTAGATCTCACAAATGTTACATCAAAGAGCATAATAGGCCCGTTGCTATGCTCTCTGCAAAAGATATAACAGGTGATGCGCGTAGCTCAACGCACACTTGTTTGTAAAATAAAGTTAGGATTAACCATATTCTAGCAAGGGCATTAAGATAATCGGCACGCGATGTAATTCAAAGGTTAAGGAGCTAACCGGATAACCGCCTTTGACGTTTGAAGAACATTAAATTTTTGTGCGAAAAATGTCCAAGATGGGACAAAGTCTTTCTATCATTTCAGAAACACGATAATTTCTATTTCAACCTTTAGAAGTTCATGCAACATCACATGCTTTTGATAACCTGATATAATTATGCAAAACCATCCTTTCCGCTTAATATTTGATCGATTTAATTAACCGAAGTTAATGTTTTCCTAAATCAAATTCGACTAAAAATCGCGATTGTTCAGCAAAGGTAGAGAGCGAGAGAGTTGTTACCATCACCATTTGTGTGCCACACCCATCTTCCATAAGGTCGAGTGTTAGCTGCTCTTGCCGTTCCCTGTCCTTCTTAAGCTGTTCTTTACTGTCTCGTCTTGCTGCATAGTTTACCAGAGCAAACTCTAAGAGGGCTCCGAAGATAAACGTTAGGCTCACGCCGATCCACACGTCGATGGCCTTTGTGTAGGACACCGGTGGCAGCTTAGAGTTAATGCCGGAAGCCTGCGTGGCCATGGTGAGCAGCGTGGTGACGCCTAGAGACACACGGGCCGGTACCGCCTCCTTGTCCAGCCAGAAGGAAACCCAGGATACAATCACCAACATGTAGCTTGGTATGTATAGCTGCAGCAGGTAGTAACTGAACTGTCTCTTCAACTTTAGCGTCACGCGCAGACAGCTGTATTGACCTGAAAGAAGTAGACAGAAAACACGATGCATAAAATAAAAGGTGGGGCTACCGTGAGATGGAACATTGGCATAATATGTACACAAATGAAGAAAGATGGATACACACACACACACACACACACACACACACACACACACACACACACACACACACACACACACACAACACGTTGTGCTACACACATGCACACGCACGCACGCACGCACGCACGCACGCACGCACACAGTATCCTTATAAGTCTCAGATAACTTCTCCGCGCGGTCATTTTTTAAAAATTTAACCGGTTTATACACCTGACAATGGCCGAAACAACACGTAGTATGGCTTATCATATTAATTCTTGTTAATTAATTTAAGTTCTATTATTTATTGCTAAGCAAACAACATTAATAACTAAGAAACAAACACTAAAGTAATTAATAATAATTATTAGAATAAAATAAATAATGATAAATATTCTTTTTTGTTTGGCTCACACTAAACCGTTATAGCTTTTAAATACATCATTTGTATGCTAGTGCTTGTAAGCTCAAAATATTAATATATTTAAGCAGATTAGTGCGAAAATTTTAGCATCAGTTATGTATATGAGGGTGCGCAACTCTAGCGCGTGTACGCCTACAGGCCAAAGTCTATGGTGTTTACACAGATTTCCAGAATAGTCAACTGTGTAAGGCTGCTTCCATAGCTAGCATGGAGAGGCTGCCGAGATATAAAAATAATTATTGAAGTCGATTACGACCACCCTGCAAAATCCCATTAGTAAATCAATTTTTGCATCCTACTTTTAAACCATTGTGGTGCTATAAGCTCTGGTCGTTGCGCAAATCTCACATTGGATATAAAAATATTGATAACTTGAAGCCATGTTTACATTTATGAGCCAGGCAGGCCAACGAGGCGCGACTCAGATTCACGAGAGCTTGCACGCAAACATTACATTGATGAGCGCCGGGTAGCGTGCACGAGAGACAGATAATTTTGGAAGCATCTTGTGGTAACGAAAAACTACGTTCGTTCTTCACGATTTCTCACGATTTCCGTCCGTGATGTTGAGCCGCGCATATACGCTGTTGCTTCAGTTCATTTCATAATCTATATATCCACGTAATCATATACACCGATCATGTCTCGTTCTGCAACCAAAATGGATCAATGTGGCCATCCATCATACTAATTAGATTCGGGGAGGGTAAAGTAGATCTATGACATATATATATATATATATATATATATATATATTATATATATATTATATATATTATATCAAGAGACTAATAAACACCTTATTTATTAGCTCTTGATTATATTATTATATATATATTATATATATATATATATATATATTAAAAACAAAGTCTAAGGTATAGAATAAGGAGTGTTTAAAATTAATTGACGCAGCTTCGAGATTACATCTCTTTATCAGGTCAGCAGACATTGGAATCCAAATCAATAATCAACAAATACAATGCGTAATCAAAAATGAATGATTCACACAATTCGTCGCTTTGCCATGAATACGGACGACAAAAAACACGCCATATATATACACGCACAAAAACACGATGCCATTAAATAAAAAGTGGGGGGCCGGGGGGGGAAACCCGGTTTGAGATTGCCGAAAACATTGGCCATAATTATTGTACACAATATGAAGAAAGATGGATACACACACACACACACACACACACACATCACACACACACACCACCACACACACACACACACACACACACGCACCCCTCCCCACACACGACACTTTGTATAAAAAAAGAAAGAGATATGCAGCTCAAAAACTGGATTTTAACACAAAAGCTTCCAATATGATTGATGTTTTACACGCCTGGGTTATAATCAATCTGATCTATCTAAATGTAAATTAAAAAAGATACTTCCCTTAAATTCGGCGCGTCGTTAATAACCCCTAGAAAAGACGGCCGTGAATAAGACGTCAGACAGATATCCATTGGTTTTAACATATCACTCTTCAATCCTGCACATCAAAAGTTTGTATATTTGATAATTATAATATTCTTCAAAACGATCCAATCACATAACATCTTTTCAAACCCACCTTTATGCTGTATACAGACGTGATACCAACTCTCCGCGACACTCTTGTTTCAAGCACACGTTTACAACTCTGACACCCGTGATGCAACCTGGCTCATACCCGTGTTGTCGGAAACATTTGCAGTACGTTGCAATTTTTATCACGAAAGGTCTGTGGTTCATAGGGCCCGTCGCGCGGCAAATTGATAGTGCGGGATTCATTTACATGCGTGTCGGACGAACCTCATTTACGCCATTGGAATGCCGTCTTAAATGCCTAAATTTACATATAGGCCTATTGGCGAAAACAAAACGCCGCCTGTCGGATAGGCTTATGTTGAACACCTAGATCTATTCGCCTCAATTTGCATGGTTTTGCCGGTTGCTGACCATTTTTAAAGGGATAGTAGGGACTCTTAGGATTTTACTGCATACAAACTGTACTTTTGTTATAACAATCGTCTATACCCAGCTTGTATTTGTTACCAGATACCTAATTTAATGTTATAATTAAATTCCACTCAACGCTACGCAAATTTGAATGGCGCCATGACACCCGCGGACCGTGCTGCCACCACCGAAAAAGTTGCGTATTTTGACAATTTATTTTCACGTTACAGGCACCGAGGGCTAATCACAAAAGTGCATTATAGTGGATACCTAAATGCTATTTAATCGAAACAATATTCATTTTAGCAGGCAGAATTTAATCCGATATTATAATGAAACTATATGTCGTTTATAAGATATTACAATCCTTTTGCTTTTAAATTAATAAATAGACAAAACACCCTCGCGTCTGTAGCCCTACATGCCTGAAAAGTGGTTTTGCGCAAACTCATCAGGATCGTGCCGCTTTGAGTGGCCGCCACGCCGTCGTTGTAATCAAAACTGTAGGCGTTGTTTTTTAAAACATTTTTTATAATCATTTCTTAATGGTGATTGCAACATGAAACTTTTTATAGTAGCGTATTATAAACCATAAATTAAACTGATAAAATAACGCTAGAACCTTAGAGTAAACTCTCCTTTAACCACCGGAATCACCACATTGATACTTGCGTGTGTGTGTGCTGCCAACGACACCATGATTAGCAATAGCTCACGTCGACACATGACTGAGCAGAAATAATTCTGCGGGGTTGCCACGTTGTTTAAATCAAGGCGGCTATGAACGTAACTTTAATTACGTTGTGATTTTTGAGTTCCATTGCTCGGTGGTGTGTGTGTTGTGTGTTGTGTGTGTGGTGGCTGTGTGTGGTGTGTGTGTGTGTGTGTGTGTTTGTCGTGTGTGCTGTGCTTGTGTGTGTGTGTGTGTGTTGTTTGTGTGTGATGTGTGGGTGTGGTGTGTGGTGTGTGTGTGTTGTGTCGTGTGTGTGTGTGTCTCTCTGTCGTGTCGTCGCATTTTTTGTGCGTGTATTATATGTGCGTGCTGCTTTTGCTCGTTCGTATCATCGGCAACGCGCGAATTGTGCTGAATCATTTCATTTTGATTATCTATTAGCCCATTGTAATTTGTTTTTGATTATTTGATTCTTTTCCAAGCTGCTGCTTGACCTGATGAGAGATGTAATTCGCGACAAGTCGTCACATTAAATTTTTAAACACCTTATTCTATACCCTTCTCCCCACCCCTCCCCCGACTCTACCCCACTTTCCGATTCGTCTCCCATCCCATATCCTCCCTCCTTCCCTCTCTCCCCGTTCTGCATCCTCCCCATCTTTACCTTTCCCCCCTTCCGTCCTTCCGGCGCCCTACCGCTCCTCTCCCCCTCCCTTCATTCCCTCCCTCCCCTCCCCCCTCCATGCTTCCTATTCCGTCCCCCCCTCTACGTTCGTCGTATCGCCTTTACCTCCCTCTTCTCTCCCTCCCACTTTCCCCCAGCCTTCTCTGCCCCCCCCCTGTCTCTTAACTTTGTTTTTATCTACACGCGGTCGTTTCGTGTGTGGACTTTACTTCTATTATATTATATTCTATTAGTATGCGCTAACGGCGCGCGTAATTTCACGTATCTCCTCCGAAACCGCCGTAAGGAATTGTGCCCATTTTCCTCTATACTGGGGGTTTTCCAACGTGGCGAAGACGACTAAGCTATGTCACTAGCCCTATATTTTCCCATGACACGTTTTTACTAAAGCAACATTTCACATAACGGACAACAACATTTCAGCAGGTTTCCCTTGCACCCCGGCAGTTAGATGCATATATGATATGACTACTAGGCCACTTAGGATATGATACTAGGCACTTAAAAAAAAAAAAAACCCTTAAACGCTAACCCTAACCCTAACCCTAACCTAAAAAAAAAAAAAATAAATAAATTTATAAGCTGTAGTAGTCATGATCATAATCGGCATCTTTCTGCCTGTTTGCGTTTCCCTTCGCCAGGTCGCCATTGGTGATCTCGGTAGTCCTGCCAATCTCTAGATTGATGTGCTGGCGCCCATTTTGCTGTGCAAATCTAAGCAGACAACACAGGCGAATCGGCACACAGGCCAGCATAAATCTTAAAATAACTTACTCATAATATTCGTTATTAAGTGTAATTAATTGTGCCATTCAATGATGATCATGTGAGCTTTCCATTGCGTGAGTGAGTAGATAGTCATACGGGGTTTTCATGTTCAAGTGCGTGAGAATGGAGTTGGTTACGCCGTATTCATAATCATGGACGTTGGTATGCATGTAGCGCCTACCTTGTTGTACTGTTAACTGTATGTTGTAGATGTAGGCGCCTACGGGCTACGTTATGTGAAAGTAGCATTGAGATGTTGTGACTGTAAACTCGGTGCTTACGCTATGTGACTGTGTAGACTGGAGATGTAAACACGCCAGTATGACCTGCCATACCTCCTAAGACCGAATAATTCTGTCCCAGATAACGTTTTAGATTTTGCGGGCAATAACCCACACAAAATACACTGCGTATGTGACATGTAGCCTGGAAGCAGCTTGCAGAATGTGCGATAATGAGACTGTAGGTTGAAATGTGTGTAGGTGACTGTAGATTTGAGGGATGTGCGTATGTGCACTGCATAGATTGAGATGTGCGTATGCTGACTGTTACATTGGGAGATGTGCGTTATGTTACTGCTGATGCAGATTTGCGTATGTGGACTGTAGATTGAGATGTGCGTTATGTGACTCAGACCTGTAGCATCGAGAATGCTACGTACGCTGAAACTAAACTGAGCATGTAACATAGTTACGTGTGACTGTAGACTGATATACATATGTGGAAGTGTAAACAAGCCGAATGCACGTTTATTGCGTTCGTTATATTATTAATTAGCTCCTGACTTTGCATTGAAGAAACTAGTGTGTCCTTGCGTCATTTCTTATAATATTGATGCACTTCTTTTCTTCTGTGTTCCGACATTTAGTTCTGCACGCGCACCAAAACTGTTTAGGCCTACTACGCGTACATAATATTTCTACATGACGTATGTTGACTGTACGACTTGCAGATGTAGCGTATGCTGCACTCCAGCACTGTAGACCGAGATGTACGATTACGTGACATAAAAACTGAGATGTTACATGTACGTGTGACTTGTATGACTGATATACATATGGGTGGTGGTGAAGTGATAACAAAGGAATGCACGTTTATTGGTTCTTATATTATAATTAGCTCCTGACTTTGCATTGAAGAAAATAGTGTGTCCTGCCGGTCATCTTATAATATCGATGCACTTCTTTCTGCTGTGTACCGACATTTAGGTCTGCACGTAGCACCAAAACTGTTTTTAGGCCTACGTACGGTAATAATATTATTACATAATTGATAATATAAAGTTCATAACGAAAACTACAACCAGGGCAGACAAACGCCAATTCTCGCATTAATGAAAAACGCAGGCCCAATTAACTAGCCATGGAATTCCTTCACTCCATCACCCTACTGGCGCTTGAGCAGGGTCTATGATCCCCCGGAGTACTGGCCGGAGGATACCCTGCGGTACGGTCCGGATATACCGGAACGGCTTACCTGCGTACATATCTAATATGCCGGACCGGTACCTCGCCTACTCCACTAACGAGCTCTAGGAAAGTTCGCCTACGCCTACTCCCTACCCTTAACCCTAACCCTAACCCTAATCCTAACCCTAACCTAACCCGTAATCCTAACCTATAACCATATCAAATAGTGACAGGGTACGTTCCGGCTGTACCCTGGGGACATCAGAACCCTTGAGCCTACTGGCATGCCTCCACACCGCCCCTCATTTTAAAACCAGGAGCAATAATTCATGCTATTACGCAACCTTAGATATCACTAAAGGACTCGATACAACGGCCACCAGACTTAAACATTAGGAACCCCACGACTATATTTCTAGATGCCGTAATCCTTCACTGGAGCCATGTCTCACAAAGAGTTCTCATCCCGCGTGATTAACTTGCCTCCACCGACCGCAAAACCTTCCCTTCACACTACAGCTGGATTCAATTTCAATCAGCTTGCCTACTCTATGACTAATAAACAAGTCCCGGGCAAAAACTTTCGGACAAACCTCGGACTCATATACCTCCAGCCCTGTGTTCTCCCACAGCCAAGCCATATGTTGCCTTTTCCGTAGCCAGCGGTACTCCAAACATCCACATCAAATGTGGCGAACAAACATTCATTCACAATGGCTTTTTCAACAACAGGACTTCCACGCCGAATGTCATCTACAAGAAATCTTTTTAAACGACTAAGGTAGCCACCACCCCCATAACGACCACTTCTAATATCAATCTATTTACTACTGTAACCCTGTTTAAATTTTGCCTGTTTTCATCGAGCTAACTGAAGAGATAGGTTCTTTATTTAGCTGGCTGTTTCAATTTTGCGTGTTTTTATGCGTAGATAAACTGAAGGGATGTCTCAGGTCCGCAAAATTAAAGGGGTAAAATTTTAAGATCTTTAGGAATTTTACCAGAACCGCCCAAAAAAAAACCAGGCCGCAAATATTACCGGTTTACAATATGCACAGTCGACTTTGGCCAAACATTCACTCCGGTGCGGAGAGCACTGGGGTATTCTAGTATATATATATATATTAATATATATATATATATATAATATATATATATTATATTTAAATTGTAGTCGCATTAGATAAATTTTAAGGACAAGACAATCACTTTAGCTTGTCTTACTCCGAGTTTCACGCTTACGGCCGATCATCAGACAAACTTTAATGAGAATAAATTTCCGTGATATACATTCCATAACCATATAAACATGAATGCGCTCGCTATTGTTTTAGTTATCTATTGTTATGTAGCTCTATAGCTCTAGTAACTATAGCCCGCGTACGGTTGCCTGCGGCAACAATAGCGCCATTCATGTTTATATAGGTTATGGAATGTATACAAGGTTTATTCTTCATTAAAGTTCGTCTGATAATCGCGTAAAGGCCGTCGCACACCAGCCGATTTTTCACGCGATTTGATCGGCCCGATAAAAATCAGCCGATATCGGATAGGTGTGCGCGTTCATTTGTAGACGATTTTACTTACGATTATTTTTATCGGGTTATCGTTCCAAATCAAACATGTTTGATTTTGAACCGATTATTTTGAAGCGATTTTGTGTAATCCGACAAGATTTTGTGGTGAGCGCGTGAACTCAGAAAAATCCTCTACGATAAATATTGAACAGCCAATAGCTGAACGTGGCCGTGTCACATGACATTCAAAATGGCGCCTACCATAGACAAAGCGTGGACGAACGAAATTGAGGGAGATTTAAATAATCAATTTTATCGTAGGTGTGCGGGTGTTTATCGGAAGGCGTCGCGATGAGCCGATTTTACAAACGATGAAGAGATTTTTTAATCGGACCGATTTTTGGGTAGGTGTGCGACGGCCTTAAGCGTGAAACTCAGAGTAACAGCTAAAAGTGATGTAGGCCTATTGTCTTTAATTTATCTACAGACTACAATTTATTACGCTTTGCAAATTAATGCATCGAGCACTCTACCGACAGTATAGACTCAAGCATCCAGACTTATATATATATATATATATATATAATATTGTGCATGCACAATTTTAAAACGTATCTTGATCTGTTGAGCATCATCCCATAATACATCTCGGTACACTATCACGGATGTCGATTACATAACATCAATAAATGGTACAAGTAATAAAAAGAACCAGACCCAAACCAAAGTAAAAGTATGGATAGTGTAGCATACTAACCTCAAACCAAAGTAAAGTAGGGTACTTGCTCAGCGCTATTTTCGGTAGCGAGATTCTGGTGGTGGATATAGAATATAACAATGCTAAGAACGCCCGTATATTAAATGTACCTGTATTTGTTGTGCTTGAGCAATACGAAGTTGAGATGTCCTTCAACTCAAAGCTTGGAAGTTCGACAATAGGTTTTCGTTGAACCGGATTATCTGCCTTCCAGATAAAGACGATGTCGTCGGTAGTGTAGCCGTCTGAAAGCAAACATCTCCGTCATCCTTCTTCAAAACAGTGATAAGTGCTGGGGACTCTGCTAAATCTTAATTAACAGACTGCGGCATCGTCGCTAGGTCCTCACGTCATTACGTAATACTCGTCACCTCGCCAGTGGTACCTCTTGAATACTAATGCATTATTTTCGAGGATGAATTTTAATTGTGCTCTTTTTTCGTCCTTAGAAGAAAAGCGCTCTCGTTAAGCCAATATTGCTATCGATTGTTTTTCGGTGGGTGAAAGCTGCGAATTAGCAGAAAACGGCAATCAGCGGAATCATAGCAATCAAGGGGAAGGCATCGCGAGCGCAAGGGCGCGCGCGTGTATATATAGACACGCGAGTAATCGCCTCGCTCTATGGCCGCCTCTGTTTTCTAGCGCATATCGACCAGCGATTATTAACTACCTTGCACGCTTCCTGCTCACTACGAGACGTTCGCCATGTGGTAATTAGGACTTTAATTTACAAAATTATACGGTTTGCCCCTGCGCGTACGTGTGTGCAGTAGGGCCTACCTCCCGGCGACAGCCCACGTCTTCTCCATAGTGATGACCTGACACCGTGCACTCGGTTACGTATACGACTACGAGATATAGGACCAAACGGCTCTTCCCGGGACCAAGTATACATGGTTGCCTGTACCCGCGTGCCATTTCGTGACGTACACGTAGTCTGCGACGTAGTTTTAATACTGCGATGTAGCTGCGATGTCGACGCGAGTGATAAATTGTTTGACGAAATTTAGTTGAAAAGTCACCGGATGGAAAATTGGTCGACAGAAATTCAGTTAAGAGGGTGCGCGTTCTTCAAACATGCGTTACGCTCCCAACGCATTTATGTTAATTACGCGTATTTATTATGCGGATGCGCGAACGGCGTATTATCTAGTTGTAATAATTTATCATCGCGTTTGTATCTTAGAGCGCTATTTTTCACAGGAATCGAGAGAGAACGGATACGGCGATACTGAAGAAATACCACAGTATTTCAACTATAACATACATACTTACAGCTCGCCATCTCTAAAACGCAAAACTGGTTGTCGAGTGGGTAATAGTGGAGCTTCATCGGGCAAGACAGCACTAATGATATCCTGCAATGAAACCCGTATCTAAATGTTATTAAAGAAAAAAGTTACAAGAAAAATTCAATGCAAATCTAATTCGTGCGTCACGTTATCATGATAGAAAACAGCAAACAGCTGTTATTTCTCTATTTCTCTCTCTCTCTCTCTCTCTCTCTCTCTCTCTCTCTCTGCTTTACTCTCTCCTCTCTCTTCTCCTCTCCTCTCTCTCCATCACATCGCCTCACTCATCTGCCATTCTTTCGATTCTTTTTTCTCTCCTACTCTATTTCTCCGTCTCGTCATCCGTCTCTCCTGCTCTCTCTCTCTCTCTCTCTCATCTTTCTCTCTCTCTCTCTCTCTCTCCTGCTCTCCGTCTGCGTCTCATCTCTCCTCTCTTTCTTTCGATCTCCCTCTCTCTCTCTCTCCTGCTCTCGCTTTCTCGTCTTCTGCATCTCTTCTGCTCTCTCTCCTCTCGCTCTCTCTCTCCTCTCTATCATCTCTCTCTCATCCTGCTCTCTCTCTCTACTCTCTCTCTCTCTCTCTCGTCCCTCCCTCCCACTCTCTCTCCTCTCTCTCTCTCTCTGCTCTCTCTATAATATATATATATATATATATATATAGTATATATATATATATATATACGAGAGAGAGAGAGAGAGAGAGAGAGAGGCAGAGAGCGAGAAGAAATAAAGAAGAGCTGTTTGTGGCTGTTTTCTATCATGATAACGTGCTGAGAAGGACCGAGTGACCACGATTAGATTCTAGTCGTCTATATTAATCTATATATACATATAATATATATATATATACATGTGACCGGGGATACACGCGTGCGCGCCGCGACCCGCGAGAGAGAAAGGGGCAACAAGACGTGAGAGTCCCGGGGGGGCGCGGGGGAGGCGAATTTAAACAGTCCGCGGTGGCTCCAGTTTAGTAACTCACACGAAACACGCCACACTGTGCGTGCTCGTTTCGTCTCTTCATTTTCTCTCTCGTCTCTTCAGTGGTCCTCTCTTTCTCTCTCTCGTTGGGCTCATCTCTCCTCTCCGTTTCCTTCTCTTCTTCCCTCTCTCTCTCGCGTCTCTTCTATCGCCTCTGTCCCTCTCTTCTCTCTCTCCGTCTCTCACAGCCAGTCAAAGCGACGCGTCTCCGCTCCTCGAACCGGCACACTCTTTACTCGTCTCACACACTCGGGTCTCGTCCTTCTATTCTCTCACAGGCACAGAAGGCGCCATACAGGTGAAAGGGACCCCGCGGGCGGTTACACAGCGGCGGTCGATTGCCTGCTCGGTTTTAATGCCTTTAGCCTCGGAGCGGATGTTACGTGCTCAAGGCCGAATCGAATGTTGGGCTTGCTGCCTGCAAGCGATTACATCGTTTCCCTCATGTTTGAATCTGGCTGTTTTGATCGAGAAATCAATCATTGGATTCGCACTGCTCTCCTCTTCTCTCATCTCATCTCCTTCGTCATGTTTAGTCTCAGATGAATCGCCGAAAAGACGTAGCCGTGTCGGTTCTCTCTCCGTTCTCGCCGGGTCTCTCTCACACGACGCAGTATCCCGAGCAGATCTCAGGCGGCGGCAGCTAAACCGTTTGGTGGCTTTTGCCAAGGCAGAGCGATGGGCGACCGGAGGACAGCGGGCTTCTCCTCGAGAATTCACGGAGATTCGTATGCCATCGCATGCAGGCGAGACCGAAACTAGCCGGAGGCTTTAATCTCGCGATCCCCCTAGCGCGATGATTCGACCCTACGTACTATTGTCTCATCTCTGTTCTATCTCTACTCCATATATATACTATTCATATACGTCTTCTCTCCTTTAATCTCTAATATATATAGATCGTATATATATATATATATATGCTCCCACGCCAGGCATAATCTATAGCTCCGTCTGAAGCCTCGTCTCGCGCATTCGTCGTTCTCTCTCGTCTCTCTCTCCTACGTTACTCTCCCGTGCTCGTCCGAGATCTGCGAGTTGTTAGTTCGCGCATCTCTTCTGCGCATGCACTCGCTAATTGCACTCCTCATAGTATTCCAGTGCATCTCTTCATTAATACTCCGTTTCGGCTTCGTCGGGCGCGGGCAGCATCATCATTTTAGGGAGGACTCTGCATGATTTATTAAGTGGGAGAGATTTACTATTTAATTTTTCAGGCAACAGCGAACATTAATCCGATCAGTGATGGACGGCCGTCTTCGTGGAAATATCTCATGGACAAAGTGGTTTTTCTAGAGACTGCACTTACCTAAAACTTTGGGTAGGCGTTGGAAATCTAGAGTTGAGATAGTGTCAGTCTGACATCAGGAATACTGTGGTCCCGTCAGAACTCTGGTCAACACTATGACCTCAGCGGCTTGGAGGCCAAGAGAGAATATGCTTTTAGAAATATTCAGAGAAATCCTTCTGGGCAGACATGTCCCCGACCGAAGTACCCAACTCAAGCGTCTGGCGGTGCCATTATCCAGGAGAACTCTGGGGGGGCTGCGTTATGTCTCAACCTATGTTAACGAGGTATTTCGGGCCCTGGCGGCCATCCCTCCCCCTCCCCTGTCTCAGGGTTTAATCAATTAGTCTGGATATTACGACCACCGCTGGGAAAGGGACAGGTTCTGAAAGACCTGGGGGAATATATAATGGAAAGGAGGCCAAAAGAGAGAGAGAGAGTATTCGTGTGGCGAGACAGAATGAAGAGTTAAGATTCATGTCGGATTTAATTTGTTCAAGTTGTAACTGTTTATATTATAGCTTATGTGGCTCATCAGCTCATCGGCAGTCAACACTAACACGTAGTTCACTCGCTACCAGAAACCACACAACAATTGCGGGTTCTTAGAATTTTTCTCGCTCGAACCTTGATATAACGTCGCGAAATTATACTCACGGTACCTTACCATTTACCAGCCTTTCAGGACAAAACTGCCCATATATTATCATAGAGAATAGAGTGTCGTGCTATGTGCATCCTACATACTATTCACCAGTAAATACTCATAACGACTATTCAATCAAAATCGGATTCGCCCTTCAAACGTACCCAAATTTAGATAAACTTCCAAGATGATTCGCAATTTGAAAAGCACAACAATACAATAGTTCTACACAGAAGAAGAATCTCTTACGTCTCACATATGTCGTTATAAATGTGAGCTAAAAACCTTCCCTAGCCGCAAGCCGAGTAAAGCGAACGCACAGTAGTTAAAATAAGTTGCTGTGCTGGGCCGTGACGTGTGTTGGGCGTGATCAAGGACTGGTTGGCAGGTAAGTGTCGGCTCATGTGTAGCATTTAGTTGGGCGTGGCGCGACGAGAAGAATTGCTTTGCTGTTGTCATGTGTGGTAGGTGTACTGATAGTGTCGGTTGTGTGTATGCTGGTAGGTGTGGTGTGTGTCGTGTGTTGGGTGATGAATGTGTCCGATGGATGCCTCTATCGGGCTGGATTGATTGATGTGAGCACGCGCGAAAGAGGCGGTAATTGGATTGTGGTCAGTGTGGGAGGCAGGGGGGAGGGGAGCGCTGTGATAGTAATGAGTATATGTATATGTAGTATGTAGTATTGATCATGGGTTATGTATCGTATGTACTGGTCATTAGATTGTACGATAGCTATGTCATGTATGTCTGTAGTGACTATGTGCTGTACTGTCTAATGGTATCGTAAATATGGTGTGCATAACAACACCACGCCGTTTACATACTTAGCATACATTACACGATTCGGCCACTCCCAGGCCCGGCCGCTCACCTAACCAGGTACGGGAGCATGCCGCAACAGCCGGGTCGCTATGCCACAGTATTTCTATGTCCACATAAATAGTAGTGGGTGTTCGTGCCCCGCTACCAAACCGTGGCCAATCAATGAGCCAGGGCTCTCATGCAACGTCTATTATATGTGTATATCGGGCATAGTGGCGAGCCTATAATAGTTCGACTGGCTCAGACCGAACGCAGTCACACAGTGTTGTTTGCACCACCTTGTGCGTGGCTTTACATGGCAGCAACGCGAAGAGCATTGAAAGGTAAGGCTCCGATTGGGAGAATCACGCATAGCTCAGGTGCTTTTAGCCGCGGTATGTGTGTCATCTTTGTCAATCGTATCGCGTATCAAAGTTGAGCACGCATACTATAATCTTGAGCGTTCTCTACTAAGTGGCGTGCAAGTGCCGCTAAGTGCCTAAGTCACTTAGAAGGGTACGTGACCAATTAGCCGCTGAGACCAATGGCGAGAGGATAGGGCATCCTCGGAGGAGTCGCAAGTAATGCAGTTGAGCGGGTTCTCTTGAGTTTTTCGCGACAGGAGAGAGCTAGGAGAAGGAGCCCGGCTAAACTGTTGAGGATTAGCGCGGCTCAGTAATTAGAAATTACTGTGCGAGAGCATCCATCGCGAGGAGGTCCAGTGGAATGACATTATCGCGACGTGACGCAATTATCCAGGCGCCATGGGAACTAAATATGGGGAGGGCATCCTCATTGGACGTTAGTCGCCAGATAAGGGCAGTTAGCGGTCTCTTGAGGTCGCGCGAGGATCCTCGAAGGGTGCCAGCGGTAATGGGATTAGGCGGACGCGACGATAATGTAAGAGCCGAGGAGTGATCCTCACGAGGGTGTATATCATATAAATGTATCACTGTGGGCACGAATTTTCCGCGCGCGGTGTTCCGCTATGGGCGTCGCGTGATTGTTATATAGCTGGGTGCATTGTGTGCTGGTGGTGTTCGGTGATGTGTGTGTTTGTGTCGTGTGGCTCGTGCTGTGTGTGTGTAGTGGTGTGTGTGTGTGTCGTGTGTGGTGTGTGTGTGGGTGTCGTGTGTGGTGTGTGTGTGTGTGTGTGTGGATGCTGTGGGTGGTTAGTAGAAAAGTGTGTGGCGTAGTGTCGCTCGTAGATGTAGAGAAGTGGTGGTGTGGTGAGGTGTGAATTGTATCACGGTTGTCACTCCGTAAGTGTGCTTTGGGTTCTCGAGTTCGCGCAGGCGGTCAGGAGAGTTCTGACGTGCGTCGACTGTGCATGGCGTGCTTACCAACGACG